AAGCCAAAGTGCTGCAGCTTATGAAAAGTTGCAGACCCTCAAAGTCCTGCATGACTGTACAAACCACAGTTGGTAATAATAAACAGGATGAAGGGCAGGATGGAGAGTATCTGGCAGTATGAGGAGAGCCACTAATTTTCCACTTTTGGGGAAATTCAGCCTGCAATTAGGGACCAACATCGCCAGAAACTTGACATCCATGTTACTTGCATTAGTAATATTAAAACATCTTATACTGGTCTGAGCTGGGAGTTTACCCCGACTCTGTCCATCAGACAACACAGTCCCCAACCACAGTGGATGAAAAGGAAACAGACTGTCAGGAATAAAACATGAAAAGAGCAGGATAGATGGAGTGGAAAATCATGAAAGGGTTGTGTTTCCACACCTTTGCACATCTAGAATGGGATCTGACTGATTTTGTGGGGACAATGGATCAAAGTAGACGTCAGACAGGATACACATGGAATTCTGGGTCGTCTGAGGTCACATTGTGAGGTCAAAGTCACTGGGGATGCCGGCAGAGAAATGTGTGAAATGTGTGTGTCAATGTGAACGACTTCCTGATAACCTAGTTTAATTTTTTCATCCTGACCAGGTCACCAGTCCAACACAGCTGTGTCTGTTCACATTTTCACTGATTTATTTTTATTGCTTACAGACAAAAAGAACACCAGCTTAAGCAAACACCAAGAACATTCAGTTTCAGTTACTAAGTCCTATAGACCAGTCCATTACATGCAAATACTCACACACACTGTAAATGGACTGAAGGGCTATGATTGTGGAAACCTTTTCTCTGGCAGTAAATTCTGCTCGAATAATATTCTCAGGATTCAAGGCCATGCCAAGGTCCAAGTAAGGCTGTTGATCGAGAGAGCTGCAAACTAAATCTGCTCTAACCTGCACAGTGACTTACCTCACATGGAACTTCAAAAAGATCGATTTCAAAACAGTTTCATTTTCAAATACCTCACTCCATAAATGCTAATTAGTTATTAGTATTTCGGGTTAGATAAATAATACTTTATTTGAAAGTATTAATGGTTGTCTGTCTATGTGTCAGCCCTGTGACAGACTGGCCAGTGTGTTCCCTGCCTCTTGGCTAATGTGTGCTGGGGTATGATCCAGCAGCCTTAGTCAAAATTTATGCCTTATTTATGCCTTTAAGATGTTTTTTGGTATGTTGGGTGTTTGCATATATTAGTTAACTGTCTCCTTACTAATCCATTGCCAGATGCCACAAATAAAAAGCATTAATGTCATAAATGTTGGGTACATTAATGGAATTTTAAGATGATAGGGGTTGAAGAGAGCTGCCAATAGGTGACTCTTTCTTCAACATCTATTTTTTATTATCTGGTTGTCCAAAACGGGTTTCCTGTTGTGTAACATTTGTGTTGCATCTGCTTCACCAGGAAGCAATTAGCTTTCACTAAAAAAAAAGAAATATTATCAGTGGGACCTAATTTAGTCCTTTTTATGAGTAGAGCTGCACAAACACATTTACTCGCATCTGTTGGATTGCTTAGCTGCTAGCTTCGCTTTTAGTGCTTGCAGCCATTGACCGTATATGCTCGCAGCTTATCAGTCCAAAAAACAGATACTGTACCTCAAACCTGCAATAATGGCTTTTTGGCCACTGAATACAACGCAGTTTTGCATTTGACAGATATTCTATAACCCTATTTACATGCAGTCGAGCAGCACTGATTTTAACACTGTCAATCATGACTTTTAATCACCACACTGCAGGATCCGTCCTGCTCCACCACTGTTTCCATCTGGTGCTCAGACTCTCCTGATCTCCCAATCACGTCCACCACAGAACCTCCTCACCCTTCAGCTCTGACTCAGCTAATGATACTTGAGATCTTAATCAGATCTCAAATGCTGGCCAACTCAAAACTTCTCACATCTAAGAAGAGATGCATGCAACACCTCAGTGTTTATGAAAACAGTGACATCGATCACCAGTAACCATACAACTGGTGGATTAACAAAGTCAAACAGTCAACCCACAGCAGGATACTCTTCTCTCAAAACAATGCAAAAACTCCACATGCAGTCCAGAATGAAACACAGAACAGGCTCAAATGCTGAACAATCTCTCAAAAACGCAATACGCAATAAACACGCGGGCTGGAAAATAGCGACATAAACCTAACATCCTCATCTCTAACCATTAAAAACAGCTTGGCAGCGCTAACAACAAACACATGAAGTCAGATTCCTCTCGCTTGTCTTGTGGAGTTTGTCAGCAACCCAGACAAAAAAGGGAATAATTACAAGTGAAAGATGGAGGGACAAAGAAAGGGGGGGTAGAAGATAGAAGAGGAGCACGAAGGAGGGAAAGAAGGTTGTTTGTGGAGGTAAAAACAGCAGTTTACATCATTTAGTCAAATGGGGAAAGAACAAAGGAAGAACAATGAAGAGGTGACAGAAGAAAACAACCAAAAGCATACACCCTTTCTATTTCTCCTGAAGTGATTTCCACAACCTGTGTGTCATGGCCTTTAGTCAGAAACTGTGGAAATGCCAAATTTTTTTCCCTGGGTGAAAAAACAACAGTGAAATCCAAATTCTCTTGTGTGAACCATGGCCTTTTTGCATGCCATAACTGTGAAACAGAATTTAATCTGGTGTTATGGTCATTATTGTGGCCTTAAAGTAAAATACTGAGCTCACTCTTTTTGGCAAGATACTGGTGCTGAATTTCCCACTCTCATGCTTACAGTACGGAGTTCAGGCTAAAAGCACGGCATTGTGATTTACTTACTTAGACTGGAACAGCAGAAATCTCTGAGGGCAAACACACACATCAGTCATCTTTATTGAAACAGACGTGGACAGGCTACAATGAAAAATCGCCTCGTCCTCGCCAGCGTACAGCTTGTAGAGATGATGAGGAGCCGTTTCCACTCAAGTCAAGCCATGTTCACAGAGGTGCTGGGTAATGTTCACTTTGTATCACTGACTTGCACTTGGGTGAAACTTAATATCAAATTTCTTGCTTGATCTGAATTGCAGATTCTGGTGTTATAAGATGCTTGTATCCATTTTTTAGACATGCTAACGACATGGCTCTATGGCTGGTCAGTCGATCCATCACTTTGGTCCAGACTGAAATATCCCAAAGAGTATTAGATGTATTGCAGACATTCATGATGCCCAAAGGATGAATCCTGCTGACTTTGATGATTCACTGACTTTCCCAAGCACCACCAGCAGGCTGACGTTTGTGATTTTGAGTCAGATGTCATGATAACTGCTGGATGTATATGTTTCCAGGTGCTGTCATATTAACATTGTACTTTTGAAATCATTTCCTGGCCATTCTACCCTCTGTGTTTGCCGTCTTGGTTTTTTTTTCCCTGCTGCTTGCTGACCAGCAGGTGTTAGTGATTTGAGCTGATTGCTGCCTGTTTTCTCTTGACATTCGCCTGAAGAAGATCTTGCAGACTGAAACGTACAAAAGAGAATAAAAATTGAAATTGGAGTTTGCAGACTTTTTCTCCTTTGTGCCCTGTGGTGATATTTTTTGTCTAGCAATGTGTGCACACTTGGTCCCTCAACTGCTGGATGTATTTCCATTAAATAAACATTCTTGTCATCTGCAGCAGCGGTTCTCAACCTTTTTTTCATTAATGTTTCATTAATGTTAAAATGTTTTTTCAGCCACTCCTTGACCACCCCAAAACATCTTTGGTAGAAAACAGTTCTTATATTGTACTAATTCAGTGAATATTATTATTATTATATAGATGTTCTGTATTAGCCAATCAGATACTCTGGGATTATCAATACCAAAAAAAAATTAAACCAGAGCAACCAGAGAAAGTAACAGCATTTGAAAACATAAAACAAGGCAAGATAAATAAACCATGTCCACAGATAGCCAGGTCTTCCAAAGGGACCACCACTGTGCAGTCGTATTGCCTGACATCTGTTTTGCAGCTTGGCTGTGCACTGTGGTTTATGTTGAGAAAGCAGTGTGTGTATATCATCTTTGGCAGATGTCCATGGGATTTTGACAGTTGGCTGCAGGCAAGGTTGTCTGATGCAAAGGTTTCACGGGGAGAAGAAAAAAGCTAACGAGGAGACAAGATGAGCTGCCCTGCAACACTTTCACTCTTGGCTCAACAGGTCAAACGATATGCAAGAAAAAAAGCTTGTATATGTCTCCTTCATATCAAGCTTTACTGCAGAACAATCCTGCAAGAGAGTTCCTGACATAAAATTTGTTTGAAATGTGTCCATTTCTTGTTTCTCCTCTCGCCATGCAAACATTTCCTCTCATTCCCTCGGTTTTATGCCACAGCACCATATGGAAGAAATTTGGTTCAGCTCTCCTGGAAATTGTGTTGAAAATGTCATCCGCCAAGGAGGTTTCACATCTGAAATGGTCCTGTGTTCTTTCTGAAATCGCACTGGACAAAAGGTTGAGAGGTAGAGGTCAAAATAGGGCCAATTTATTTTTAGGATTTATGTTGCTTTTGAATTTGCACCAGTTCTTTGAAACCTTTTGATTTACTAGCACTCAATTGCACTAAACATATCGTGCATGCCAAGAAGCATTTATCATTTATGACTCGAATACATGGAAAGCAGGAAACGTTACAATTGAAGTTTGAAACATTCACTTGAATTCATTACCCCTCTGCATCACAACGCTCTCAGTAGTCGCTTTGTTCTGGTGTTTGGCTAGACACATTTAAAATGAAACTCTTTTCTGTGGCTGACCGGACAAGTCTGGAAAAGTCAATGAGGCAAAAGATACAAGCATAAAAACGCAAATCTTCAACACATTGCAACCGTTTCATTCCGTTTCCCATTGTGGTGCTGAATAGGAAAGTAGTTTTACAACTTTACACAATACTGGGTCGTAGTTTGATTTATACGTTGAAAGCTTTGTAGATTCAGATGTTACGCTGACCGCACAGGCTACAGCAATAGATGTATTTCTCTCTTATTCCAACTACAAACAATGACATAGGAAGTTTTGTAAAAGTTCATTTATTTATTAAAAAAAAAAACTAAACAATAACTTTTACACAAATGATTATGCTATTGGCAGAGCAAACCATGTTTATAGTTTAGAGAAAGCAAAAACAATCAGAAAAGCAGTATACAGACAGTATAATAAAAGCAAACTTTGTTTTCTGACACAGAAAAAGCCAATCCTGTACCACGCCAGGCTCACTGGCTGTACTTAATGAGTGCTCAGCACCCTGTTTTCAAATACAAAAAATACACTTTCATTCAGTACAATTTGCATAAAGGAGAACTTGAAAAACAATTCACTGAATTTAAAGAATCACTACACTTTGGCGATAGTTTCTTGGGTATAAATAGATCAAGCATGTAAATAAAAAGCAGGCAAAGATAGAAAAGAATGATGTGACTTAACAGGTCATGTATCATTTAAATTTCAGCTGCTCCTCTGACTATGTGCTCACATACACAGACAGAGCATTATGTATTTCCACACACAATATTTTAATGCTCACAACTTGTATATTCCATACTTTATTACACTCATTGTAATTAGAACTGGTCATTGAAAATGATAAACTCTGGTTCTGACTGAAATGCGAGACATGCTCATATTACCTTTTCCAAATGTGGACTCTAAAACACGGAGGTTGATTCTGAGCATTTTGACAATTCTGAAGTAAGAAATTTAACTAATATTTATACAATGCATAATGTGTCCAGCACAGAAAAAAGCAAGATATTACATTTTCAATGCTTTAACATTGTCTACGTATTATTAAACAGTGCATCTGCCAGCTGTAAGCTCTGTCCGATGTTTGGAAAATGTTTTGTGCTGCCACTGAATTCAACTAACAAAAGACAAAGATAAAGGTTGGTGGTTGAGACGGGCAACAGCAACATTTATTCAGAGAGAATCATCATATTGGACTAATGGCAAGATTTAATAAGAGTTGAGAAGAACCATTTTAATCCTTTCTCTCAGAGACAGTTAATCCATCACCTTAGTTCATCTGGGGACACAAAATAGGTCAAGTGAAAGACCTCCCCCCCAACACACACACACACACACACACACACACACACACACACACACACACACACACACACAGGTATACGGATAAGGATGTGAATAGGCATCAATGGTCTCTTTGTAGTTGACAGTCTCAAAGGCACAGGTCAATTTTACAACTAGCTAAAACAACAGTGTTCTGTTGCAAAATGGCCACCCCATTTGGGTGTGCAGGTGAAGCTTTGTGTTATGTTCCTTTAGAAATAGGCATATTAATTAGGCTGAATACACAGAGAATGTATTGAAATGACAGTTATGTTCATCATGTTACTCTAAACTGTCAATTGTTGGTGCTGTTGGAGTATTTTGGACCAGTTTGCTTTGTCCTTGATGCTTCATAGGGAGCAATGCTTGGTTTACATACAACAACAAAAAAAGAGGAAAACTATTTTTTTAGCCTCTTGGAGAGGACCTTTTTAAGTGGCGGGTTCTTCCGGTCCTGGGTAGTGTCCTGATCGGGGTGGGTTTGGGGCGTCTTTGGCTCGTATAGCTGTTTGAGGCTGAGGGTCTGTTGCTGCTTCGTTGTTTCTCGTTGGGCTTGGCGTAGCTGACGTTTCATGGTCTTCACCTTTTCCCTCAGGTGGTCGTTGGCTTTCTCCAAGGAACGCACCTGCTGGGAGAGAGTCCTGACCCTCTCCTCCTCCTCAAACAGAGCCTTCTGCACTGCCGAGCACAACAACTAAATGGAAGAGAAAAATAAATGTGTTTGTTACTTTAAATACATTTGAAATATCAGGAAAAGCACTTCAGACAAATATGATTGATGTTAAGCCATTAAAACTCTGGACTGTCAAATTATTGATCAATTACTTTGAGGTTCCTTAAAAGTCATGGCACGAAAAAGGTCCATATCGGTTTATATTCTGAAATATTCCCAACTGATTTTTCCTCTTGCACTGGCTTTTGGATGGAATCCTATTTGGAGTTTTGTCCCATAACGGCTCATACTAAATACTAATGTCAGATTTAATATATTTTTGTTACATTTATGACGTAGCATTTGACAGATCTGCAGTTTTTGATTCTGGATTTCCTTTGGATAAGTCAAATGAGTGAACACCTCTGGCATGGTCGTTGGACTGACAAGCAGTGCAAATAGCTCCTAAATCTTTGAGCATATTCCACTGTTTGTGTATGGGTTAGTCTAAAAAGAAAACTTTTGGCAGCTTGTAGCCTTAAAAGGAAAAAAAGGAAGGAAAAAAGTCAAATTCATGATGAAATATTTTTGAGATTATACCTTTCTTTCTGTGGAACAGTTCGTGGAAATGTACAGACTTTAAGATTTAACATTTTATTGTATGCCCTGCTTTTTATGTACCAGTCAATTTGAATAAGCCAAAGACAACACACACTGTAGCTCCAGGTATGGACCAAGATGAATCTAAAGGTAAAGAAAATAGTTACACAACATGCTCCGTCTGTTTCAGCGAGACGCCACTGCGAGATAAAAGCCCAACATGCCTGCGAACGTACGACAGGCGATCCAAAGGCCCGGGACCTTTCCTAGGTAAAAAAATTAGCTCCAGCTGCCTTTGACTGCACGCCTGTCTGCCTGAGTGTGGATTTCCTTCACAGACCCTAATGCTTCCACATGGGCCAGCGTGAAACACTGATGTATATTCCCTGCCATCAGATAACAACCACTGAGGGTTTTGAGGAAATGTTAAAAATGTGCTGGCTGGCTGCTGGCCCACATGACTGGTTAGTACATTACCCGCTGTAATATTAGCTGTGGATTTTTCCCATGTGCTCTTACTTATGTCCCATGAGGGATTTGAAAAGGGTATGAAACTTTATAATGCAAAGGAAGAAGTTCAGGAGCAGAACAATCAAGTTATGTAAAGCAGAGGGTGGAAAATGCCTTTCATCCACGTTTATAGTCAGGGGTGCACATAACTTTTTCAGTGACTTACTCAGGTGAGTACCAGGAGATAGTGTTTGGTACTCACCCCATATGTAGCGTGGTCTTAATAAGTGCAGTTTTCCTCACTGTCCTCCTCAGTGTCGCCCCCACTGTCCTCTGCTTCAACTTCCTGCATGGTAGGTGATGAAGATGCTGTAGATGCACCTCCGTGTCCTTGGTTGAGCCTCCGATTAGCTGTCTCCATCCACAGGTCAACAGCTTGCTTTGGGTCAAATGTCTCTGTGGTCTGCTTTGACAGGTGAATGTGCATCAGGGCTGAGAGACGAGCATGTGACAGACGAGATCTGTACTTGGTTTTTATTATATTGAGATGTGAGAATCCCCTCTCACAAGCTGCACTTCTTAAAGGCAGTGTAAGAGACAGCTTAACCACCTTGTTTAGGTTGGAGTAAGCATATGGGTTACTTGTATTTACTATTTGGACCAAGTCATACACAGAAGAGGCTCCCAGGCGTTTTCCTGCCTGCTTTAAGCGCATCCATTCTGTCACAGTGGTGTCTTTGTCAAGTTGCAAGGTGGCCTCATATTTCTTGAGAATGCTTCCATCTGTTGTGTTTCCAAAACTGTGGAGGCCATGTTGAAGGATCAAATACTAAGAAATGATCACATGACTTGAGGGAGTCATATCTGATTTCTAACTCTTCAATTAACCCCCTGAGTAAGTTTGTCTTGTCTCTGTCAGCATCAGCATTAGAAACAGTGTGTGCCCTGTGGCCTTCACCATCAAGCAGAAGTCTGAACTGTCCAATGGCCACCATGAGTTCATCCTTACATTCTCCAATGGTCAGCCTGCTGTTTCCTTCTCAAACAGTGTTGATATTTTTAACAGTGTTTCATGCCTCCATGCAGACCATCTGATATTATGAAACTTACCCAGTTTCACAAAGGAGATCCTATTTTCTTCACACACCTTCTTTAGTGCAGCAGTTTTGGTTTTTTTTGCTCCACCTTTTTGTAAATAAAACTGCAGCAGCTTGACCACAGAGCGATTAAATGTCTCACAGTAGGAAACGTAGCGATCAGCTGATTTTGCACAATTCTCCAGTGTGTGTGCGGTGCACAGAATGTGCACAAGGGAGTCTCCAAACGCAGCAAGTTGCCGGAGTTTTGGCACAAGGCCGTTGTACACACCGACGTTGACAGCAGCCCCGCCTGTGTCCTGGAAAAGTCTCACAAGTCCGTTTGTTATGGCCTGCGCGGTTCGGTCAGCACCCAGTTCAATCAGTCCAAGAAAGTCCGAGATAAACTCTCCGTTCCTGGACACAGACACAATGTAAACGATTTCCTGCTCAGTTTTTGTCCTCAGACCAATCAAAAAGCAGCCCCCAAAATTCAGCAGACTGCAACTTGGCTCGTAACTCCCCGCTGATGGTGTGAGCGATGCTCTGCATGATCCGTGTGCCCACTTCACGTGAATGATACACACCTCACACACACACATTTACTCCTAGCCGCTTCAGTAAATGAACATCCTCAGAACAGGAAGACATGGGACGTGCGTGTTTAGCTTTATGGAAGACGAGGAGAAAAATATTAAACAGAGCTTGCCGCTGTTCTTCATTCAGCTTGTCTCGCCATCTGGTCAGTGGGCGACTGGACATTTCTTCTCGGCTAGCTTGTTTATTAGCTATGGTTTGCGCCACATTCCTGTGCTGCTTGCTCTTTTCATGTTTGTCAAATAAAGGATAGTTGAAATTCTCTGAGCCTTTATAAAACGCACCTGTTTTGTCTGCTAGATGTGGATGTGAGCGGCAAATCTTGCACCACATTTCGTTAGCTTCAAGCCACTGCACACCTTGGAGCCACTTTTCCGAAAAAAGTATTTTCTTCGGCTCTGGCTCCGGTTGGCGTTTCTTTGTAGGTGGCGAAACACTAATGAAGCTGCTTAATGTCTGTTGCTTTTTGGACATCTGACAGTAGTTGACAAGCAACATGTGTCAGGTTAGATGAGATCGGTCAAGTACGCAAAGGCGCGTAGTAACACAAGAGGCATTACGCATTCCTGATTTTTGTCGTGCATGCGTACCAGTTATGTGCACCCCTGTTTATAGTGCTGTTTCAGCTGCAGTGTGGACAAATATTTAGGTAACTGCACTCTATTAAATTAATGATACGTTTTTCTGCTTTATTAATGTGACATGGACGCAAACTAGTCCAGAGGTCCCTCTTCCCAGCAACATTTTTCAGCACCTCCTTGGGGATCCTGAGACGTTCCCAGGCTAGATAAGACATATAATCTCTCCAGTGTGTTTTGACTCTCCTACCAGTTGGATGGAAAACCCCAAAAAGAAGGAGCCCAGGAGGCATCCTGATCAGACAGTTTGGGGACTTGACAAATACTTCTCTGCTCTTGGCAGATGATGTGGTTCTGTTGGCTTCATCAGACCGTGACCTTCTGCATGCAATGAAGTGGTCAGGATGAGAGTCAGCACCTCCAACTCTGAGGCCATGGTTCTCTGCCGGAAAACGGAGGATTGCTCCCTCTGGGATGGGAGTGAGTTGCTGCTCCATGTGAAGGAGTTCAAGTATCTCGGGTTATTGTTCATGAATGAGGGTAAAATCGACCGGCAGATTGGGGCAGCGTCAGCAGTAATGTGTTGTGGTGAAGAACGTTCTAACCCTCACTTATGATCATGTGCTTTGGGTGGTGACCCAAAGAATGAAATCAACAAACAGCTGAAAAAAGGCATATTATACCCATGCAATGAAAGGGCACTGGCAATAATAACACTTTTTTTGTACCATATGTCCAGGATATAGAACTTGATAAAGACGTAAATTTAGTTAAAGATCATGTTATGTAAGCTAATTACATTGCTACTTACAGGTACGTTGAGAAATGACAGACAGAGTCCTAAACAGGGCATAATAATAGACGATAAAGAGGGTGCAGGCTGAATTAAAGCAGTTATATGCAGGTAAATAATCATTATGGAGTTTTAAACTTTAGGTGATATTGGAAACTATTCCATGAGTCCACTGCACTAACAATAAAAGCAGCCTTCCCTACATTAGTTGTGATTTATTGTTTCGCATTAACCAATCATTGGGGCAGCTTAAGTATGGCCCAGAGTTGTAGAGCAGCAAAGATGAGATATGAGATGGGGATTTTCCAGGAAGGGTTCTGTAGATAAATATATACCAGTGGTTGTCTCTCAATCAGGGAAGGCAAATTAATCTAATTTATGATAGAAAATGCAGCAGTTAATATTTAAATTGCCTCCAGTCATAAACATTGATTTTCTATGTGATATTTAAATGTATATTTTTCATCAGGCCAGATTCCAAGATATTTATATTCTGTGATGCTCTCAATATTGAGTGTGAAAGGAGATATGCAAGTTATTGTCATCTCTGGATCTCAACAACAAGTACATTTTGTATACATTGTGTTTTCTGGTGTTTACCCCTCCCCTGTGTCTCCGGCACTCCTGTCTGTGTGTTGTGGGCGTGGTCTTCGCCTACTGGCTCCCAGCTCTGCTCCTCTTCACACCTGTCTGCAATTGATTCATCGCCTCTCCCTGTCTGCTCACCTGCCTTCCATCAACTCATCAACTTAACAGTATATCTACTCTGGTTCTTAATCCACTCAGCAACAGATTGTTGTTTCTCCTACTGTGGATCATAACCCACTTGTCTGTCTGCCTGCCTGCCTGCCTCATCTGTTACCCATAACACCCCTGATCTTATCCTCAGCCAGCCATGCTCACACCATCAACCATCCTGTTCAGCCAAGCTCTGCCATTCCTTAATGCACTAAACCTCTCTTATACCACTCAACTCCATTGTTTGGTTCCGCCTTTAATGATCCTAACAGATTGAACAGAATCAGAAAGTATGTTGCAAAATAGTACTGCTTGCATAGAGATCAATCAAATACAGAAGAGACAATATCATTTATAGAGATGGTTCCCTGGAATTGGAAAAGCAGACTTTCCGTTTAAGACTTTTAACCCCTCATGACTAGAAAAATCACCTTGACATTAACATTGCACTTTCATTAAGTGGAGATAGATTTAAAAAGAATGGTGAAAGTCGAAGCAGCTGAGGCTTTAGACCCTAGTATAGTTTAAGCTCCAAAAACACTGATTGCTCCATTCCCCACAATGCAACTCTGTTACATAGCACTTAGACCCTCCCAAACTGTCAAATGCATCTTTCAAACTCCAAATCATTTGAATGAATCCATGGGGCACACCCTCAGTACCAAGGAGGATTTTATCAACTCTGACGTCATCTCAACACAACTGCAACATGGACAAAACAAAAAGGTTAAAATTTTATGTAGTGAAAGTCTTCTGAGTGTCATTTCCCATCTCAGAGGAGGTATGTTTGAAACCATTCTAAGGAAAAACAGGCGGGTGTCTGCCACATTAACCATGTTAGCTAAAATGTTGTGGACAGCAATTAGTTTTATCTTTGTATCCAGCCATCAAGTCAAAGCTAATATTTCTGCATTAGTGCTGGGACCATGAAACTGTGGGGAAAAAACCCTTGTTGCTTGTTAAAATGTTTTTATTGCTGATACTGTTTGATGTTTAATCTTAAGATGACAACGTGACATATGATTTACTTTGGTTGATACTGAATAATAATATGTGATCTGGTCTGGTGTCAGTTTGGGTCAGTTGTCCAAACAACGGTTGTGCAGTACCAGTAAAAACAAAGTCTGTTTTTTATTTTGCAAGGAGGAAATCTAATCACGATGACGTAAGAAAGCAGCACTGATACCTAAATGTTGCTCTGTAATTATAATCACAGGCCTGACACAAAAGTTATATGTAATGGAAATACGAACCATGTTTTCATTCTCATTACCCATGGCAGATGATATTGCTTTTATGAGTAGTCAGCAAATGATTGGAAACAGACAGAAGAGGACTGACCTAAATCAGAGGGACTATGCCAAAGGTTTAGCTTCATTAAAAGGGATAAAGCAGTTGGTGAGTGACTGGAAACCATTTATATACAGACATGTGGACTCTAAGACAAAATGAAGGAAACTTACAGAGTCACCAGGTGTTTGTGTTTGCCAGTGGTGTTTAAGTAAAAGTGAGCTGACCTTTCACTAGCAACGGTGTGAAACCAGAGCTGGGGCTTATTAATTGAAGACATTTTCTAAATCTGATGTGCATCAACATGAGTGTCATAAGCAATAAAAAGAGTAATGACCTTTAGATACACTCACACTGTCATTAATCAACATCATCCCGTGTAATCCAGGAGCTATTAAGTGATTCAGAGTTGTACTTTACTTTTATGATGTATCCACTTTCTCTGGTTTTACTTTAGTTTGTGATTTTCTACATTTCCATAAATTCCTTTCAGGATGCCCCCAACGGATAGACATGAACTTGTTGCATTGGTTATGTAAATAGGTGGAGATTTAGTTTTTCCAGTCCATCTGATCTAAGCTGTCCACTTCACTACCACACTTGTGATCTGATCTACAAATGTTTGTCTGTTTGTTCTGTGATGAATTTCAATTTGCTTCATTGTAAAACAGCATGTTGTATGGTGGTGATTCTGAGGGACTGACGTTTTTATAAGCTATCAAAGACCATTGTAGTTGCACTGGACATGTCTCCACATGATGCCACTTACTTTGACATTAGGGCTCTCATCTTTGGAAATAAGAAAATACTCCAATAAACAACTAAATGGTTTTCCAAAGAGCTGGCAAAAACAATGTTTTTAAAGTAAAATTTTCCTTTAAACATAGTGACTTCTTTGTCTGGCCAAAACCTCAGGAAATGTGTGTTTGGTTTCCCATGCATTAAGGACATATTTAACTTGCCAGCATCTTCTCAGTATTCCTTTGAAAACAACAGGATGTAATACTGCATCCTTTATTCCACTCTTTTTCCCAAATTATTTGTGTAGCCACCTTGTATATGCAACAACTGAATCAAAATAGATGTTTATCACTAATCGAGTGCGAGAGACAACTTTTCATCAACACTAGGAACTGGTTTATGGTTTATGGCTCTGATGGGCTACATACCCGGCTGTCCTCCTGAGCCTCCCATTCTGGGGTGTAGCTGTGGACCTGAGTTCCGGGCGTGCAGTTCGAAAACTGGAAAAGGCTGGAAAACGTCCGGTGGATCTCTGCAGTGTCGGGGAAGATGGGGTCCTGGAAGTTCACTCCATGAGGGACAATATTATAGTTCTCATCCATCCTAAAAACGGTGACAGATGCACATAAACAGAAGTTGTGAAAATTGAGTAACAAGAAACTCTGTAACGTCATCAGGAGTCCATTCAAATTAAAGCAAATGGACAGGTTTGACCTGTTCATCCTATAAAGTTGACAGACAAACATCAATAGTGGAAGTTAGACATTTTTGAGACATAGACCCTACATCTAAGCAGAATTGTTAACAGACCCTGGTCTATTTTTATGCAAATTCAAGCATTCTGAGTCAAGCCAGCAAATTACAAGCCAATGGGATTTACTGTGCATGTTTCATATCTTCTCCTGCAATGTGAAGTGTGTGAGGTGGGGGAGTCTTGAAGCTGCATGTTTCGCTACATCTGGAACCCATCTCGTATCCCTCGAGGGACATCAAAAGTTTCATTGTCCCTATCAGAGACTTGTGGTGTGTGTGTGTGTGTGTGTGTGTGTGTGTGTGTGTGTGTGTTGCTTCAACAGAAGAGGTCAAAGATCAGATGTAAGGGACCAAAAGGAGTGACCGTATATTTATGAGTTTCATCTCCTTTAAGGTTTTGGTATTAAGTTGTTTTCTTTTGACAGAAACGTTAAAAACTCTGAAGTAGTGAGATATAGTGAGTGGTGAACATATGGCTCAGGCGCAACACTCAATCTGTCTCATTTAAAAGTCCTGAGGGAGATCCTCGGTTCTCCAAGCGAGGCTCTGATTCGCCCTGTCCTGGGAGACTGCACTCATGATTGATTGGAAAGACTATTTTGGTCTGAGACAGTGCGTTTAGAACAGGAAATAGACGTCCACTGGAGATTGCAATGAGAACCTTTCAGTTTTGGCTTGTTCATACATTGTCTGGGACTCAGTGTTGCAGAGTGGCCACAACAACAATCCTTTGAAACTCTACACTGATCTGTTTTAGGTTTATGACAGGGAGTGTCACGTTAGCAAGAATGCCCCAGAGCAGGACATGCAGAGACAATCTGTTTAGCTATATCTCATTTCTTTCGACCAACTGATGGGCAATTTTCACTAAAGTTGCTGAATATTTCGGTGTTGTGGTGACGAATAACACACCAGGTAAAAACAAACAGCACTTTTATTATAAAGTACCTCAATAATTACAGATCCATAGAAAATACATTCATTACGAGTAGCTCATTGATAAATTGAAGAAATTGTTCGGCCTATGTGTGCGGTTTATATGAGGCTAAAACCAGCCGACGGTTAGCTCAGCTTAGCATAAAGACTGGAAACGGGGAAACACTTGGCCTGACTCTGTCCAAAGTTAACAAAATCCGACTACCAGCACCTCTAAAGCTCACTAATGAATGTGTTATGTCTCATTTTATTTAATCGGTACAAAAACTGAGCTGCAAATCAATATGATGGACAGAGCCAGCTAGGCTAATTGTGTCCCTTGTTTCCAATCTTGATGCTAAGCTAACCGCCTGCTGGCTCTAGTGTAAACAGTATCGATCTATTCACTGAACTCTTGGCTAAAAAGCGACTGAGGTCTGGCCAGAACATTATTTTAGAACAAAAACTGGAATGATCTCCGTTGTATCCAATTAAAGTAGTCAGATACAGGCAATGGGGGAACTCCATTGATAACGTTTTAAATCCTTGGTAGCCAAAAGAAGACAATACAACTCATTCATTCGAACATTATTTAATGCCCATCTTGACTATGTTTTGTTTCCCATAGGCCTACATCCTTTGTGGTCCTAAAGACTTCTGCAAAGGAAAATGTGGGTGAGCCCTGTCTATTATAACCCCGGTAAACACTGAGAAAAGATTACTTTGGTTTACTGAAGCAATCGTTGCTTCTTAATCATAATCAGGTCTGCATTTAAACAGAGCTCTGTTGTGACTCTAGCTTCAGGAAGTTTCCGATGGTGGTCGCCTGGCTAATTACAGGGATAACGTCCGGATGTTTTCACTATCACAACAGGGGACAGCAAAGTCATCCCTGGAGGTGTGATTAACTAAAACCAGTAAAAATAATCTTTAAAGTCTTTCCAGTGGCACAAAATCACACATACGAGTGTGACTGTGTGCATATGATGTGTAACATATGCAATAAAGAATACTATTGTAGTTGGACCTGCTGCAGACCCTCATGTGGCACAGCCAAACCTTACACTTCAGGAATGCTTTCCAATGCCCCACCCCCTCTGAATATCTAACTCTTCATCTGTTTTGAAGAGAAAAACAGAAAATGAGAGAAATATCGCTAGTGCTTGTCAGCACATGTTCCCTTTACTGAGTGGCAAACTGGTGTGTTTCAGCAAGACAAAAGGTGGTCCTACCAACCGCTGGCGTGCCGATAACTCTCCTGAGTGAAAATTCTTTGTAGGTTTACCTTCAAGCTGTTGGGAAATGTCTGGCTCTGTAATTACACTGGCTGGAATGCAATAGACGTTTCCTGAGTAACAGTGTTGTTTCTGTCCAACACAGACATTTAAGAATCAACCTGCCACATACGTTTTTGAAATCTGAGTGGAAAGTTTGGCAGATTATTAAATATATTATTAACCTGAAATCACATTGACAGATACTGATTAAAAGAATATGTGAGGATGGTGCCAACGTTCTGCTTCTGACTGCAAATACTTCCTTACTGGCTGATGATTGACTGAACCCTCTTTACTTCCTTTCATGACAGATCTCTGCACAGGTTTGAAGAGTTGCGAGTTTGCATTGGCCAGGCATAGAGAGGGGGTGAGGTCAAATTATACTAATAGAAAATACATTATGGGATGCCCTGGTAGACTAGCAGTTAAGACACATATAATAATATACTGTGATGGCAACATCCCTGGTTCAGTTCAGTGCATTTTCTCTCCTCTTTCCCCCTTATTGTCTGTCACCTCTCAACTGTTCAAAGCCAACAAAGCCCAAAAAAAACATCTACATCTTGCTCAAATGGACCACCAAACTACTGAATACCAATCACTAATATTCTGTAAAGATTATTATTAATTGCCTTTTCAGAGATCCCCAATGGCTGATTAAACTTTACTCCTCCGGTTTAAATATCTAACTCTCATAGATGTGCACACTGTGTCTGATAGGTCCCAATGTCAGAGGCACAGATGGTGGAGCCAACAATGATGTAATTCAAATGTCTCATTGTGAGACTATGTACATTTGAGTTCCTGGTCTTTTGTGCATCCACATTTAAAGTGCTTTACATTGAATTTACAGTTTGGATGGATGAGGTGAATCAATTCGAATCACTGGGTATCACAAAAGTGCAGAAAGGGACTGAAAGTGGAGCCCAACCTTTTTGTATGTGAAAATTAACATTAGCTTTGCATCTTCAGATCTCATGCCTCACATTATTTACCTCATTGTTTCCTATGTTTATAGAGACTGAAATGTATTATGGGTATGTTGTTTTTTCGCAGTCGGTTATTATCAAATCATATTATCACAAACTTTTTGACATTTATGGTAATGGATTCCAATAAAAAAGACTTCTTCGTCTTCTTTACTGGCTGAACTGTTTTCACAAAACTTGACAAAATTGCCTGATTCTAAAGCACCCAGTGACACTTCTGCAACACGTTTCCAGCTCTCTTTTCTCTTAAACCAAAAATGTGCCATTGACCTGGAACAGTAAAGAGAGATTTATTCTAACTGCAAATCACATTTGGACAAGAGGGCGCAAGAGGGTCATCCACGTTATGTCATATCTGGGCAACTTTTAATACTTTCAACAGACCTTACAGCCTCTAACAAAACATTATTCATATGCTTGTATAGAATCTATGCGACAGATCTGATCTGATACAGCCTGAATGAGCAGCTGTTTCTTTTGTTGGAAATCCTAAAAAAGTTCTGTTTTTTTCTATCACTTTAATAATTTATGCATAAAGTCGTAGTTTGTTAACAGAACTGACTGAATCTCAACGCACACTCAATAAGGGGACAAATAAAACTTAATGAATCTGTGACAAGAAATTATTTTGATGACTGGTTAGATCAATAGGGAATACCTGCGTTTCTCACCTTAGAAAGAAGTAGTAGTTGTTGTTTTTAGTGACACTGTAGGAGAAGCAGGGGAAGTAACCCAGGCCGGTGACATTAAACCTGGATCCAGCGGGGACCTCCAGCATGCTGCCCCACGCCTGGTCGCACAGCAGCTCAATCTCGGCGGAGAAGAAAAGGTCGGTGTCGTACTGCCAGGGCAGGTAGTTATACACACTGTAAGACTCCTTGTGCAGTGCCAGCACTTTCGCAAACACTATGATCTGCGCCAGCTCGGCACGGCACGCTTCTGTCTGTGGTCTCCAGTCGTGGGGCAGCTGGCATCCCCAGCTCCCACCTGGGCCTGCCACTGCCAGGGTAAACGCCAAAATAATCCACATGATCCGGCAGAGAGGACGCGACTGTGGGTCGGAGAGGCGCACCGACGCTCACGATGCTGCAGATGGATGAAATCACCACACACACAAAAAAAAACCAAAAAACTGCAGGGCTCTCACACCATGCACATACTTCCACCAATGCTGACCTAGCTGATATTCACAATAAGTGGATTTAAACACCAAAATAGCCCAGAACAGTTGGTATCTTCTCTGCTCTCTGCGGTCTTTGCTCCCTCCTCCAGCCACAATACCTGCGATCAGGGGGTCAGCCCATTCACACGAGCATCCCCTGCACAAACCTTTCCTCTCATCCTTTAAAACAAGACCAGGAGGAGCAAATAAAGAGTGTGCGTTCAAAGTCTGCCTGTGGAATTTTAAATGTGAGGTTTCATTTTGTAAATCGTCTTGCTAAATTACAACGAATCCATCAGCTTCAAGGCTGTGAGATTATGTGGCACTTAACGCAACAAAAAACGGGCACTGAAGTCCATACAGCCAACTATAAAGGACTGAAGTTAGAATGGAAATATAGGGAAGATTAATGGTGCCCTCTAGTGGCAATGTGCACGGACAGCAGGTCTTTAGTTGAGTTATAGTGAAGACATCTGAGACACTCTGGAGTGATTTAGCATTTAATATATCATGGATTTACTCGTAATAACGGTTTAAAAAAATATTTAAAATACAAAATTAAAATGGTTAATTTGGTTGTTAACATGACCGGTATGGACAGGTAAGTATAGACACATGATTAGTGTAGACAGATTAAGTCACATGACAGACCAAAAACCCCACAAAATGTCAGTATGAAACAACAATAGACAAATAGAGAACTATATACACAACATCTTAACATTTATCACTACATGCGGGCAAGAAGGCACACTGTTTTCAAATGACTTTAAAAAAACCTTGACTGGACAGCTAGAGAACAGACCGGACACCCAATCAGCCCTCCATGCAGTTTGTTTTGTAGTTGAATTAGTACTTTACTTCCTCCACATAGTGCTCAGGTATGTTGATCAGCTGATTCCTACAGTAAAACCAGACAGTTCCTGAGAAAACCCTTACAGGTTGATTCCTGTGTGAACCTCAGAAGGAAGGCACCTGAGAGTCACGACCCAGGAAATACACATCTGCTCTACAATTTTATGTGAGAGCCAATCAAGTTGCCTATGCTACTAAGAGTGCTGCCAAGAATTAACCAATCAGATGCCGTCCCACTACCAAGAATGGCAAAAACCAATCACAATCGAGAACGCTACGAAGAATGCCCCGAGGCCCCGCCCATCCAGAGATCAACCTTAAATTGTAGGAGCTCCTTAACTTTGATCGGATTGACAACCGTTGTTATATTTTCGGTAAGTTCATTGTTATTTATTAATTAATTAACTCATTATTTGCCTTCATAATGTCTGGGCCTTTATAGTTCTTATAAGTTTTAATTATTGAAAACGTGATTTACCCACGGTCGTAGAAAGCCGGTATGCTAACAGGCTAATTGTAAAACAATCATATGCTGGTAACTTAACTAACTCAGTTTTAAACCAATGTCAGTGACACCACGCTGAAGTTGGCTTCCGATTCGCCAGCCTCCGATTCGGCACTTAAGGGGAAAGTTAAGGGGAAATTAACTTATTGTCCACTGATTGTCTGTTTTTTGTGACACTTCTTGATGTGAAAACGTTTTAGACATTTTAGGTAAGACATCAGCTTTGGCTGACACCTACGATTGTATCTGTGAAACTTTTATTTTATTTGTGAAAATGCTAAAGGGGAGATTTCACCGTTTTTGTTTTACACCAAGACCTCATTAGACCAGGTCCAGATCAAAAACCACTGCACCTAGACCTCTCAAATCTGGAATGGATTGATGTACAGACCCTGAAGATTCATAAAAACACAGTCTCTGATTTGTGAAACCTTTATTCTATTTGTGAAAATGCAATAAAGACACATTTCACACTTTTTTCAGCACATAGACCATTTTGGACAAGGTCCAGATCCAAAACCACTGCACCTAGAACTCTCAAATCTTTTTACATGGAGAAGTTGTTGAAAAGGCACAGAGTCAGTAAAAAAGTCAGCAATTTTCGTTCTTTTAAGTTTTTATGGCCTCACCTCTGTTTTTGTAACGTTGTGTCTAGGTGCCTCTTTGTTTTCTGCTTCTCTGCTTTCCTTTGCAGGTTCCAGGTCGTGGGTCGTCATCTTAATATTTTTAAACTATGGACAATCGAGTAGGGTCAGTATCATGTCTGTAGGTAGGTAGGTAGTTGGTCAGGTGATGAGGAAAGGGAGGAACACAAAGAGGACAACTGGTGGCCGGGAGAACAAGAACAGGGTCTGAAATGATGGCAGATGTTATTAAAGCCAACAAACTATTTTTATTTTAAATACATTTATTTAGGTGTCTCTAGTATCTAACCCGGTAGGACCTCAGGTACCAAGGTTAAGATCTTGAGTCTGACTTGTAGACCTTTTAAAATAGTTTGTTGGCTTTACTAAAATCTGCCATCATTTCAGACCCTGTTCTTGTTCTCCCGGCCACCAGTTGTAACCTGCAAAGGAAAGCAGAGAAGCAGAAAACAAAGAGGCACCTTGACACAACGTTACAAAAACAGAGGTGAGGCCATAAAAACTTAAAAGAACGAAAATTGCTGACTTTTTTACTGACTCTGTGCCTTTTCAACAACTTCTCCATGTAAAAAGATTTTAGAGGTCTAGGTGCAGTGGTTTTTGATCTGGACCTGGTCTAATGAGGTCTTGGTGTAAAACAAAAACGGTGAAATCTCCCCTTTAGCATTTTCACAAATAAAATAAAAGTTTCACAGATACAATCGTAGGTGTCAGCCAAAGCTGATGTCTTACCTAAAATGTCTAAAACGTTTTCACATCAAGAAGTGTCACAAAAAACAGACAATCAGTGGACAATAAGTTAATTTCCCCTTAACTTTCCCCTTAAGTGCCGAATCGGAGGCTGGCGAATCGGAAGCCAACTTCAGCGTCGTTAAACTATGAACGGTTTACACATAATACTGTATAATCATTCTGTACATTTGTAAATTACTTTGCACTTCTGGTTGATGCTAACTGCATTTCGTTGTTTTGTACCCTGTACTTGCAATGACAATAAAGTTGAATCAAATCAAATCAAATCAAATTAATTCATTTTTGTAAAACACTATATAGCAGACAGACAAATGGCAACAAGGATACAACAGCTTTATTGTCATAGGTTATCAGTCAGACAGTGCATGGAAATAGTTTGCTGTCTCTTTACCCTGTCGTACAGTATACTAGCAACTGAGAATTAAAAAGATATCTTTATCTGAATCAAATATGTACAGATTGATCAAATATTTGTAAACAAGATATATATATATATATATATATATATATATATATATATTTTAATTAAGTGCACATTCATGTACCAACATTGTATATGTATCCAGGCATACTACCGTGGACTTGACCAATACAATATAAAGGTGTGTTCAATCTAAGATGTCAGACCAACCATATTCTAACTGTTGTTTTTTGTTTTTTTCAACTATACAGAATGGATCCTAAATTTAGAAGGAGGGGAGATGGCCGTTCCAGTTTGTTTAAAACAGAGGAGGCCAAAAAAGTGAGGGGGGAGAACAGGCCGTGTGCCCGAGCTCTTTCGCCTCACAGAGTAACAGAGTCAGTAAGGACGGTTGTTCTCCATCAGGGTGGTGACCCCAACAACGAGCAGCATGTCCTGGGCCAACACCAAATACAATTTGGGTTGTATAGAGGCCAAACCTTTAAGTGGGTGGCTGAAAATGCCCTGGGGTATGCTGGGTATGTGATCGCCTCTATGTCGCAGGAGTCCGGCAGATGTGATTCACATAATAAACTCATGAACAAGAGAGCCTTCAACAAATATTTTGCACACTATCCAGAGGGCCGTTATGCCATTGAGGTAAAGACCCAGAACCAACCTGCTACAGCCACTGCCACCACCGCTACCACCTCTACTAAACCCGAGCTCACCACATTCATCGACACCTAAACGAGCCTTCACTTCACCTCAACTGTCCCCAGTGCCTACAGCCACTCTGCACTCATTATTGATTGGGAAAGGCGAATCCCAGCAGGCTATAGAGAAGTCTGTCAAGAGGCTGAAGTTTCAGCCGTGTGAGTATGCAGCTAGAATTCTCTCACATCTGTATAATAGAGAGAAGAATTTGCCTTCCCACTGGTTGGATCCCCACCCTTCTAGAGGTTGACCAGCGCTGGATTGCCAAGGCTCTGTTCCAGTGGTCCCGCTTAAATCAGCCAGAGCTGGATCATGCAAAGATGGACAGGATGTGGTGGTATCCACCTCAGCCATCACTGAACTCTAGTGCCATACCAGCATTGGAGCAGTTTTTTGGACACCCCCTGTTCCTGTGGATTCCCCTGAAGCTTTGGCATGTGCAGCTTTTCTGTCCACATTCAGACTGTGGCAAATCGGAACTTACCTCTGCTGGACTGGATCAGAGGATAAGGCAGGTAGTGGGGGTCAGCAGCTCTTACTACCTGGCAGCAGAATACCTTTCTTGTAAGAGCTGCAAAAGAAAGGTGATTAGCTGGAGCCACACCATTGTCTCCCAGCTACACATAGGCCACCGCACTCAGTTCCCATGTCTGCTGACACACAAGCTGGGGTGTGACATGCAGGTTGTGCGCCTGATGCGTCAGCGAGGCTTAGGAAATAGCAGCAGCCAGCTTCAAAAGCAGCTGGAGGAGCAGCATGCAGAGAGCTGGCTGCAAAAGCAGATTCACTTCCTAACGGACTACAGGGGAGTTGCACGTGCCATTTCCTCTGGCTTGATTTCACCAGTGCCACTGGGCGACTTGCCAGCTATGCCTGCAGTGCCAAAGCATCGCTGGTTGATGCAGGTATATGCCCAGGATGTCCTCACCCGGCTGGAAGAAGTCAAGGCCTCTATCACGTCCCTTTTTGGCCAAGTCCTGAAGATGGACTCAACTAAAAAGATTGTGAGGAAGCTGGCAGGTCAGGCACGCTCTACAGCTTCTTGGGCCACTAACATCGGCAATGAGCATGGTCATGTTATTATGTCTGTGCTCACAGCAAGTGAGGGCTGGGGCCTGATGAAGATGGCAGAGGGTCTTGTGAGGCGATACAAGGATGCTGGGGTGCCACCCCCAGAGATTTTGTATGTGGACCGTGACTGCTGTGGGAACAGTCACCTCCACAAAATCTTTGGGGCATGGCCGGGGATGAGGATCCGGTTGGACGTCTGGCACTTTATGAGGAGGTTTGCCACAGGCTGCACAACGGATTCGCATGCTCTGTACTCCAGCTTCATGGCCCAACTCACCCGCTGTATCTTTGTCTGGGACAACAGTGACCTGCAGAGGCTCAGGGCAGCCAAGCGGGCGGAGCTGGAAGCAAGCCGCATTCGTCCCACGGAAGCAGATGTCACGCGTCACATCACAAAGATGGAGATGATGCTACACTGCAGAAGAACAGTCCGTGGATGCAGCGAGATGGAAGACATGCTCAAGCAGTTGATCGAGGCATATGATGGAGAGAAGGGCAGCAACACTCTTGGTGTGCCTCTGATCAACTCGGCAAGGATGGCAGAAATCTGGAAGGCCCAGCGCAAACACATCATCTGCCTCCAGGACCCTCCAGGTTTCCAGCTGTATTCACAGACTGGGACACTGAAGAAGGGTGGTCATGTGCTGCCAACATACCGCTGTGCCAGAGGTTCCACTTCCCTGGAGAATTTTCATTTACATATGAATAGATTCAGCCCAGGTAAAGTGCAACATTATTATTATTAATGACATTTTCATTTAAGTTGTAATGGAATCATATTTATATTTATTGATGAATTTGCATGCAGGGAATCACAATGCAAATATTTGATATTTTTCAGGAACCCTAGCAAGTGCCACCTTTTTTAAGGCCTATCTGGTCGATGGGCTTGCTAGGTGGAATGAAGACAGGACCATGACGGCAGAAGGGATACGAGGACCACACTCATACAGTGGCCTTCTTAGGCATGCTGCCAACCAGCTGTCAGAGGAGGTGCTTGGGAGAAAGCTGGTGGAGTACACAGCCCCGAGGACATACACCGGTTTGCATGTAGTGAATTATTTACAAAATATATTACTAAACACATTTTAGGCAGCTTCCTGTGATTCACTTACAATGCTTTTTTGTTTTTGTTTCAGGAGAGCTTATAGGTATTGAATACTTATACAGCCAAAACAACACTGCCATGGAGGACTACAAGTTGGCCCTCACAACACTGGAGACAGAGGATGTCAGTGTTGCAGAGGGGGAATCTCAGTTGGACTCATTTCAACTAGAAGATCCAACTGTTTCTGCACTTGAAACAGTATGGCCCCCACAGCTCTGCCCTCCATCACCTGCTCCCACAGCACTGCCTGCAACTCCTGTGTCAGTGTCAATGCAACTATCCCCCGTTGAACCATCACTGGTCACTATGTCGAGTGGTACGTTTTTATTGAATCGTTAAAAAGGTGCCAGTAATTGTGATTTATATTTAGACAGAAAATATCAATGTTACATGTTCTCTTTGTCTTTGCTTTCATTGGTTCTGATCCAGCTCATTGCCCTGTGGGAGTGTTTGTCAGAATTTGACAAATCCCGCACCAAATACCCTCCTCGCTACCAAGACACCATCCCCGAAGGTAGATTCAGGACCACCAAAACAATTGTTGCGCCTGGCATAGACAGCACAAAGCGGTACGTATGTTTGTTGAGAAAGCTTGAAAATGCTGCAGGCTATTACATTATTCCTTGTACTAATATGAATGCTGCCTAATACATTTGCAGATCCTTTGCTGGAGGGGAAGCCCTGCACACTGGCCTAACTGCAACCGTCTGTGAGGCACTTTTTGTGTTACTCTGTGAGGAGTACAGAGGACCCAGGCGGATTGATGGCAGTAGGCATGAGCGGTGGAGTCTCGTCACTAAAGCGTACCTCCACATTAAGGAGGTAATTTGCACAAAACATGGTGGTGAAGGACAAGACCACTATCCAGCTCCCAGTGATGAACAGTGCAACAATTGCTAGTTGGTGCGTTAATAAACACTTAACCTAGTGAGGAAAAAACCTAGTGTCTGTTATTTTCTACAAAAAAATAATGCTTGAAATATTTTTAGGTACTACAATTGGACAAAGAAACAGGAGAAGACAAGGTAACAAGGTATCTCTCCTCCCGAAGCCACAGTTGTGAGCCCAGAGAGCCTTCCCGTTGCAATTGAGAGGAAAGACCCTGTGTCCCTAACAGGAGTGTGGCAAATTCACTGTTCTGCCACATGAGAATGGCCATGTCATCATGTCTCTGCTTACAGCAAGGGATGGCTGGGACCTGACGGTGCCACCGTCAAATATCCTATTCGTGGGCCGTGACTGCTGTGGGAACTCTCACCTACACAAAATCTTTGGCTTCATGGTCCAACTCACCCGCTGCATCTTTGGGTGGGATGACAGTGACCTGCAGCGATGCTGTAGAACGGGCCTGACCCACCAGCTTCCTCACAATCTTCTTGGTTGAGTCCAAGTAGTAAGAGCTGCTGACACCAACTACCTGTCTTACCGTCTGACTAAGTCCAGCAGAGGAAAATTCAGATTTGCCACAGTCTGGATGTGGACAGAGAAGCTGCACACGCCAAAGCTTCCGGGGCATCCACAGAAACGGGGTGTCAAAAAAACTGCTCCAATGCTGCCACTTAAGTTCAGAGATGGCCGAGGTGGATGCCATCAAATTCTGTCCATCTCTTTGTGGTCCAGCTCAGGTTTAGTTAAGCTTGACCACCGGAACAGGGCCTTAGCAATCCAGCGCTGGTCAACATCTAGCAGGCTGGGGATGCAACCAGCGGGAAGGCAAATTCTTCTCTCTATTATACAGACATGAGAGAATGAAGGAATGCATGATTAACAAAGATATCTATCTTTTTTTAGAGAGCATACACATGGACAATTTAGGTGCACTACTGGTCAGCAGATTAAATATCCATCAGGAACCCTGTAAGTGTTAGTATGTTAAATACTTTGTTATAATTTTGTACTTTTTGAAGAAATGCCATGAGAAATTGTGGATAAAAAAAAAGACTAATTTCTTTTAAGAATATTAAAAAGTGACCGCTCTAAACTTAATTACAAAGAACAGCCACAATTGTCAAAATGGATAAAAAAGAAAATATGGAGGTGGACTGAGCAGGAACAGCTAAAAAAAAGGGACATCAAAATATTAAAACATCTACAACTCAGTGTTTCACAAAATCCTTTTTCTAGCTGCATACTTACACAGCTGAAACTTTTGCTCAGAGAAACAGCCACTTTACAGACAACTAGTCTGTACTATGCTGAGAATTGCCTTTCCCGATCAATAAAGAGCGCAGGGTGGCTGTAGGCACTGAGGATAGTTGTGGGTAAGTAGAAGCTTGTGAGGGGATGGAAGCTCGTGAAGAGGCTACATGTGATGAAGCTTGGGGTTTTTCTAGAGGTGGCAGCAAAGACTGTGGCTGTGAGGGTGACAGGTTGGCTCTGGCTCTTAACCTCGATGGCATAAGGGCCATCTGGTGAAAGAGCTCAGGACCACAGCCTTTTCTCTTTTTTGCTTCCTCTGAGTCAAAGAGGCTTGGACAGCCATAACCCCTCCTCCTAAATATAGGATGCATTCTGTATAGTTGGAAAAAAACAGAAACAACAGTTAGAATATGCTTAGTTTGGCGTCTTAGATTGCAAACACTTTGTATTGGCATAATTCTCACTCTTCTAGTCTACCTCAGTATGCCTGGATGTAGGATTTCCAATGTATACATCTAAAGAATATATTTTCAATTTGTACATATTTTATTCAGGTAACCTCTACCTTTTTCATTCTTAGTTACTAGTATATTGTCCAACAGTGTAGAGACAGCAAACTAACTATTTCCTTACATTGTCTGACTAATAACTTGTTTATTTTTTGCATAGGACAATAAAACTGTTTTATCCTTATATCCTGTACTGCCATCACATTATACTAGAATAAATGTAATGGGGTTGTGCAACATTAGTTTGCCATTTGTCTGTCTGTGAAGAAAAGTCAATGTTAACTGTGCATGACTTCCTATATAGCGTTAAGGAGGCTAACACGTGTTATCAGCAGCCTAAAATAAAAGTGTAACATTAGTTATATAGCAGCTAGGTGGTTAAGAATGAAGAATTGTAATTCACTAAGGTAATCCACATCTTTTCAATAATTAAAATGAGAAAACTAAAACTCACAGAACAGATAATACCACAGCAATGAAATCGTTGAAGATACAACAGACGAGGTCAATCGGAGCCATCACATACGTCAAAGCACTTGACGTTGGTTTCTGAGGGCAGCGGCTTCCGGTCATTCTTGGTAGTTCGGTCGATTGTGATTGGTCTAATTTTAGTAGTCGAGCTAAAGGTGATTGGTTTCCGCAATTCTTGGTAGTGAGACGGCCGCTGATTGGTTAATTGTTGGTAAAATTCCAACGCGACCCTCAAGGCTGGCTTCACTTCTTACCGACATTTTGAAAGTAAGTCAATCCTCTATTGTCTATAATCCTAATAAATTGTCGAACAACAAAATCACAGAATTAATCGATGAGGCCAGCTGACTCAAATGTTAACCACTTTAGCGGTGGGACTACAGTAGTTGTGTGTATAACAGGACTAAAGCCCTGCGTTCAGAGGTATACAGCCTGAGAGTCACGACCGAGAGAAAAGAGGCCCCATGGTGCGTCTTATCGGGCCAGTGGCGCAATGGATAACGCGTCTGACTACGGATCAGAAGATTCTAGGTTCGACTCCTGGCTGGCTCGTCTTTTGAATATAGTATAATATAGTTACAATAATTGTACAACATATCCCAGATTCCCTGAATGCTTCTGCTACTTCCTTTCGTGGCAGATCTCAGCATAGCTGAGCATAGGGAGGCCAGGCACAGACATGACTTCATTCCATACATAACGTTACTACTAATTTAACCCTTATGGACTATGAAACTACTGCATACCAATCACAGTCAGTAGGGTGATGAGGCAGATATCCTGTTTTAGAAGTTACCGAAGGTATTTGAACATACAATACAGTAGTCATTCAAGCCGTCTTGCTAAAAACCTTGGATGAAACCTGAGCATAGATGTGCCTGACAGTCAGAACAAAGGAGGACATTACGGTGGCTTTTCAATAGGGCCAGTGGCGCAATGGATAACGCGTCTGACTACGGATCAGAAGATTCTAGGTTCGACTCCTGGCTGGCTCGATCTTTTCTGTAACATTGGTAGAAGTGTAAGATTAGGACTCATGATCGCACAATTAGCTATTTTTTAGTTGTTTACTTGCTATCTTATAATTTAATACTTCCGTCTTCCTTTCACGACAGGTCAGGTTTGAAGAGTTGCGATTTGCATTGGAGAGACAAGTCAGGCACAGAAATGAAGGAGATTTTTTTTTAAATTATAGAATAGCAAGATACGGAAATCTACATTCTGAATTTTGTAGTTCTGAATATTTTAGCCTTAAGGATTATAAAACTATTGAATACCAACGCGTGCATATTAGTTAGACTAGCAGTCATACATTGTTTTCATAGGTCTATACACCATGTCAGAGAAATCATAAGCTAAGGAGGGTCAGATATTGTGTTATCATCATGTCATTGCAGTGTTTGGCTGAGAGACAGGGCTGAAATACGAGTGTTACCCTAAGTAAATTAGCCTTGCAGTCAAAAGTCCGCGTTGTAGCACAATATGGCTCCACGTATCGGGCCAGTGGCGCAATGGATAACGCGTCTGACTACGGATCAGAAGATTCTAGGTTCGACTCCTGGCTGGCTCGATCTTTTTCAACATGTTTGGACAGCATCCAACGATCTGCTTAATACTTACGTAACGTTGGCACATAATACCATGAAATGGCAACACCACCAGTTGTACTCTACGGGCAGGCCAGTGCTGTACACTGACAGCTAACCAAAAATACAATGTAAATTTAGTGATTAATGCATACTACTTGAAACAAATTAGTTATTCAGTTATGATAATATCTGTTTAATCTTGAATTCAATTAGTATTTATTGCATTTATCAGATTATAATTCTCATTTTAAGATATCATTTCTTGATAAAAAGTGTGCCCAAATAATAACAAATCTGTGAATGATTTAACTCACTAAACCAACTAACAGGGATTTTACTTTTATCATGCAAGTTTGAATACTGACAAATAGTTAAGTAATAGTTAACAAAACTGGATCCCATGCAGTCATACTATATTTAAGATTAAACAAATACACCTCTAGGTGGCGGCATCATCAAAAAACGAGGCCATAATGTCTTGAGAGTTACAGTACAGTTGGTCTCATTAAAATGCATTGCTGTCAATCCTTTCAAATGCAATTGCTTAACTCTTAATAATTTTGCATCTTTTCACTCAATTGAACTGTCACATAAAAAGCCTGATTTTGTTCTTGTGTTTAACGTTAACACAGTACAGACACTCAGTACAGATTTAACCTAGGGATAATTATTCCAAAAGTTGAAATTAAAATGATTTAATTGTTTGAAGCTCCATTACTCGAATATTGGAATGCCACAGTGGCAGTTACGGTTCCTCTATATTGTTCAGATACTGTTCCACTGAATCGTAGTGAATCATAGCCTATCACGCTGGCAGAAAAGTTACTCATTACAGCAGATACAAAGTTTCTACATTTTAAATAGACCTCCAAAGTGATCAAACTCATTCCAAACCAAAAGCTATTTTTAGGACTTTGCACACAAACAGACACACAAACATTTTTCTCATCCCTTTCTATGGTTGCTAAGGCCTTCAAAACACTGTACTGTCTTGATGTGTTCTCCCCAGACTCACAAATTTGTTCTCACACTCTCCCCACTGCTCAGTTTAAATCCATCTGATGCCTGTTGTCCCCCTGGGAATGCTGCTGGGACGGAGGTGGGCGTGGGGATTTCTCAGGTGACAAACACAAAGTACCAGGAGCTGTAAGGGGGCACAACACTCAAGTGTATGAGGGTCTGCATGAAGGACATGGCTGCAACACTGCTGGCTGTGATGCTCATGATCCCTTACATATGCGAGGGAGGTGAGACGTCTTTTTTATGATACAGCATGACTGATATTTCAAGATAAAATGCAACCTCTCAGTTTCTGTGTCACCTGTTTATTCGATAGCACTGCTGAGAAAATCCACAGCGATGGACTTCCTACAGAAAGTAAGAGAGAAGCGAGCATCAGAGTGTTTTCCTGGAGGCTGCAGCACAGAGGTCAGCGAGGCTGGAGAACTGATAGAGGCGGATGTAGGATACGTAAGTTCTCTGGCAGTTGTACTTTGTTTCACATTAGATGGCAAACATGTACGCAGTTTGAGTTTACTCAAGCACTGTACTTAAGTACAGTTTTAAGGTACTTGCGCTTTACTTGAGTTTTTCCATTTTGTGCTACTTTATATTTGAGTATTTATATGGTATATTTCAGAGGGAAGTATATACTTTTTACTCCACTAAATGTATTTGATAGTAGTTTTATAGATTCAGATTAATACAAAAAGAAATAATATTCAACAACAATTAACTAATACATGAGATTAAGCTACCCGGCAGTTTATAAAGTAGTTCAAATTAGTCCTTTTACAATCTGCAACATTAATGATGTGACATTAATGCATCAATAAATATAATCCAATAATATAATGCATTATTATGATGATATTTTGATGATTTTTCTTCAGTAAAAGATCTGAATACCTCTTCCAACACTGCATGCATCTACATCCTACAGATGTTTGTTACCAGCTGTGTTGGAAGCATATGTCTGGATCTTTCTTATTTTATCGTATATTCAAGATTAAAAACCTGGAATTGCTACACTGATATTGGATATTCTCATCATTTTGGGTTAGGCAGTCAGAGTAGTTTGTATAGAAGGCAGCATCATCGGCATCTTTATTGTGACGCCATCAAATGTCGAAATGTCAAGATGAATAATTTGACATTAAGTTAGTCTTTCATTAGTTTTTAGATTTGAGGGAAACAAAATCATGTTGACAAATTATGTCTTAATGTACTTCATTACATACTTCATTTTATTTCTATTAATTTATCATGTCTCAGTATTCCCTTTTAATCTAATTAATCGACTTAATTCAAGCACAAAACACAGTAAAAAAAAAAGACATTTGAAACTACAAGTTTGACTATTTTAAAATGTATGCAGACTTTAAATCCTCACACAGAATTCCCCTCTGCAAGTGTAAATGTCAGTAAGACGACGTCAACAGGAAGGTTTCAATTAAAAGTGGGCCATCACTCTGTTTGGGCAGCTGGGTCTCTGCACAGAGGGAGATTCTATCTACATGAAACTAAACATCATGAATAAAGACCATGTCCAGAACCTGGGCTCTGGAGGGGAGAAGCACTCCTCTGTTCGACAGGGATAAGGTGAAACTAAATCAAGCAAGTCACTGAGGCGTTTACCATTACTGTGCTCCTACATACCAGGCCTGCAATCTGAAGACAGAGTGAGAGCAGGCCATTAACATCGACTTTGTTACTTAGTGCACCTGCTGCAAATATCAGATGACCAGCATGAAAGCCAGCAGAGAGGTGGAATGTGATCAACTAGGATTTCTGTAATGTTGTCAGACATTTAGGTACATGTTGTTTCTTTGACTTGCATAAAGCTGTGCCATAAACCTTTTTCAATAGAGACCTTCGCTGAAAAGCACGCCTCATGGGTACTATTAGCAATCAGAGTTAGTACTGTTGTTGTATTATGTATTATGTACATTTTTGAATAAATATAAGAACTTATTTATAGGAGGAGAGAGCCAGCCTGCTGTATAATGGAGGTGCTGCTCAGAAAGAAAAAAACCATGTAAGTTGTAATAGTTTGGTGATGGTCATTCTGTTGTTTTTAAATTTAAAAAAAGTTTTGTTTTTATTAATAAAACCATCACAACATAGCCTAAAAACACTTTTATCTTGTAGCAGAGCCCTGGAGGAGGACCTGTGGTGGATGAAGGATCTGGGATGTAGCAAGAGGGAGAGACGACAACGTCGTTGTTGGGTCAAGGCAACTTGGAATACATTATAAATATAAAATATAAAGTATAATCACCAAGATGAACTGCAACATTTGAACAAAAGATTTTTTCAATGAAGATGATTTGTTTCAAGGCTTAATTTGCATGCATAATTTCCTTTCTTTTAAGTTAAATATAATACAGTTCATATAAGAGCAGTGATAAAGGATGTTTTTTATCTGTTACCTCCAGTTGTTATTGTTTAGCACTTGGTACTGTTAATTGTTACAACTCAGTAACTGTGACTTGTTAGTGAGTCTGTTAGAAAATAGAACAGTTTCAATATATATGTAATCAGAAATTAAGGTTTATTTTCTAATAGTTATAATAGTAAAAGTACATCAATATTAGATTCATTGTGTAGTATAGCTTGAATTTAAATACATAGTATATATATATTATGTACATGTTACATGCAAAGGGAGCTTTAAGTGAACATTTTAATAAATGTATATTATATGCATGTTTGTTCATTTTGTCTCATGTTGTAGTAAATGGATACATATTGGTGACACACTAAAGGTAAACTACTGTAGTAAGATGTCGGGCCACCATGAGCCACCAGAGCAGCTTCGATGCTCTTAGATTCTCTAAATCTATAATCTACTGGAGGGATGAACGGAATTCTTACAAAATATATTCTCTCATTTGGTGTTTTGATGAAGTTGCTGTCCACATCAAACTGACATCAGACAGGATCACATTCTGAGTAAAGATAAATGCCAGATAAAGCGTCTTAAAGTGTACCCAGGCTGCTGTCTCTTTGCTGTTGCTTTCAAGTGCTCCAAAACACAACTCATTGTAATCTTTTTGCAATGTAATGACAACAACCCACTGACTGGCATGATGCACAGCTCATGTAGCCTGCAGCATCTAACTCATATTTGTGAACTTCTGTAAAACAAAGAATGTCATTGTCCTAGTTTCTATTTATAAGCCTGTAAAGAGGTCTGCACACAATCAGCAAAGAGACAGCAATTTTGCTTCCTTCTCCCAACTATTCCAACATCTGAAGAACTTAATCTACAGAAAGACTGTTTAATCCATGTGGATTATTTCGAATAACGACGTCCTGCCAGTCAGGTTTTATATCAGTTGAAGTTGTGAAATACATGTAGTAGGACTAATTCTACTAATATTCCACACTATAAATATACAAGTTCTCGTTCCCACATGTCACATGCTGATCACGGGCTTGTTGATCGCTTTCTCCTCGCATATCTGCTGGACAGATGACCAGCGGAATGAATGAAGGGTGAAAATACACACATTGGAGGCCTTATTCTTCTTCAATTCTAATGATTACAGTAACATTTTGCCATATTTTTAAGTATGAGCTCAATTTAATGTTATAATCTAATGCTATGCGTTAATAATTGTAGCTATGCACAGAGGGCAAAAGGCTGCTGCCCCTTTAATGTTGCATTCATGGGCTCATCGTAAATTCTCACTTTTACACTTCAAGTAATGCGTACGAGCTTTCTAATCTAACGTTAGTAACAAAATGTACCACTAATATGAGTCCGTTTTTGGATGTTATTTTATGTATTTGTATCTGGAAAGCAAGTAGCATACGGTAACTTTGTGCATTATTACACAGTGAATAAGGAATACACGACGGCGAATAGGGAATACATAGAAATAAATTGGCTTTGTAATTTAGGTTTTATATATAAGTTATTCTTAATGTTATTCTATAGGCTGAATTGTCGTGATATCAATTACCACATCATTGTATATCGAATAATAAATTAGATTTTTTTCCCCTGGTTTTATTAATAAATCAATTATCTGTAGTTTGCATACGTATTACAACTCCTATTTCCGACAGTACCGAAAGGCACCATAACAACCGACAGCACTAACTGTTACGACTTGACGCTGTAGCTTTAGCTTACAGACAAGAAACAGCGGCGGTGTCTTTCAAAGAAATCATTTCACAATGTAAGTCTGTTGTATTTCTACCAAAAGTTTTTAAAACTCAAATGTTACTCGGTGAAACTTGCCTAACATACCGGCCTTCCGGGTTAGTTTGGTGTCAGGATCACAGGACAAAAAAAAAGCAACGCCCAAAACTTTAATGCTAGCAATGCAACAAGTGCTAGGACGCTGCTTGTCGGGATTTTACGTTAGCTAAGCTAGTTAGCTGTCGCAGCATTACATTAGAGCGTGGTAACTTTAACCAACACAACCTGTGTCACTGTTGCTTTGTTAGTTAAGTGGACAATTAACGGAAAACATATGGTAGGCTTGTATAACGTCAACAGCTGCGTAAATACGAACTAACTAACTGAGCTTATTGCTAACGCAGTTCCTCCGTCTATGGTCACAAGTTAGCTTTTTCTCCGGGTTTTCTGTTTGTTTACCTAGCGACTGCCTACGTGTGTGTGTGTGTGTGTGTGTGTGTGTGTGTGTGTATACAGTTAAAAACAAACTGTTAGTAGTTTTATAATGGCTATTAATAATGCAACTGTAATTGGAAAATCAGTACAATTAGAGCAAAGTGCAAGTAGTGGTAACGTGTTATTTTTAAAACAGGAAATGGATTGATGGCTAACCTAATTTTATAGATATTTATAGATCATTCAAGTGTTGTAGCTAACCAGATCTCTTGTTTTCTATTTTTTTCCATTAACCTCCACCATCCCAGCATCTATTCCCACCACACCCCTACCACCACCATACACAGGAAGTCTGTCTAAATAAGAATGAGTGCAAACCAAAAACGTCAATGTTGTGTGGGTGACCTTAATAATCCTCGCTGAAGATAGTTCCAGGTATAAAATAGGAAGGAATAAAGAGGAATTGTACCCACTTTTTTGGTGATAAGTCAAGGGGAGTTTTTCAAAGCAAACTATTTCTCTTACAGTCAAACCTGCAACCCTGCAAGTCCCTTCTCCTATACACTGAATGATGTTTTACATAATTCAATAATGAACAATATTCCAGTAAACAGGACTGTCATTCATTATGCATTTTGTGTAAAGTCAAAATGTTTCAGTAACGGTTCAGTATAATGCACAATTTAGTCAGAGTTCACAATACATGGCACATGACCTCAACCACCTTATTTTGTATGTGTTCACTTCCCCAATGCAGGAGAGAATAGACAAATTAATATATTGGATTTTTTTCAGCTGGGAGTTCTAAACAAGTAATGATTGATACAGTACATAAGACAATAATGGACAAAGGTTATGTATATTAATTTCTGCATTGCTCCTTTACTTCAGGAAGACTTTGTGCCATTTAGTCACAGGTTGGATGTTACGGTGTGGAGAATGGATGTATGACATGGGTCAAGCATGAAGCCATTTGGACCCCCCTCATTATGCATTTTCACAAACAAATAAATAACAAAGTGAAACCAACTCCTGTAATACAAGTTTTCATGCAATTGCTGTGACTTTGGACTGTCAGTTTTACATCTATAAACTGCTGTTACGTCAAGAATCTGCTAACACTGGCACTGATTGAGAGGCTAGACGAAGCGACTCTCCAGGCTTATGTGCACACACGCATCCATGGACAATTACACATGCGCATATGCAATACACACACACACACACACACACCCCCATCCCACGCCTTCGACGCTTTTTACCCTCAGTGCGACAAGCGGGGTTCCGCTGGCTGCGCCGTGGCTGCCTGTCTGCGCTGGTACGCCTCCACCCCCGTTTCCCACTTCCCCCGTTGCAAGTTGTTTTGAGTTTTTATGTTGTAAAGTGTGCTCATATGTGCTTATGTTGCTGAGGTTTTTTTCCCAGTCCCACACTGTACTCCCCTACAGGAGCAGAGTCTGGGAGCTGCTTTTTTTCCCTCCTCCCCTCTCCTCTTGTTTCTCCCCCTTTTTCCTCCCCCCCTACAAGTAATTTCCCCACGGGGATTATTAAAGTATTTCTGATTCTGATTCTGCTAACAATAATCACTGGAACCAAAGTTAGTAGGCCTGTCACACAGCAGACATTTTGACGTCAGTAAAGGAAAAGCATGGGCGTAATTATTGATAACAAATGAATGCTGTAATTATTTATGTGGGCCAGTTAAAGGCCTCCGTTATTGTGCAAGCTGGCTCACCTGGCATGAGTCACTGGGGCACTTACTGGAATGGAGTCATGTCAATTACACCTAGGTTTTTTCGTGCTATGACAGATTTGTTATGTAAAAGGTAAATATGGTCAGCATTCAAGAATTGAAATTCTACAGAAACAGTCTGAGTTTAATAAAAACATTTAAGTAACATAGTGACGTTGGAGCAAAAGTGAATTAGACACCATTTTGTGTGTTTCTGATTTTAGATTGGTATCACCTGTTATGTTAAAATAAAATGATTAATAGAAATGGAAAATCATTTGCAAACAATATCTCCAGTGGATATGAAATACTCAAAAACAGAAAATTAAACTTCAGGCTGTAAACTTGAACTTGTATTTATTTCATTGGGTCTGGAGTTGTGTTTGGAAGGATTTACATCATGGATTATTTCTCTTTAGGAAATGAAGTTTGTTAGGTTTTCTAGCATCAGTGCCATTACTGTGTTGTCATTCTGTAAAACTGGAATGTAAGTGAGTTGTTGTATCTGTATTTACACTTAGTAAGGGAGGCATCAGCTCTGACATGCTGACAGAAGTTTGTATACACTCTGGCTGTCTGTGATGTTTAAACTTGGCCGCTCTGCTCTGTGTTAAGTAACAGCCAGGGTGCAGAATCAATCGTCTGTTGGTTTAGGTTTTTAAAATAGGTTTGTTTGTTGACTTTATGCAATAGTATTCATCAGGATATCCTCCTGATGTACAAGCCTTGGGTTTGTAAATGTGCAGGAATTTTGGAGAGAGTGGAGGAAGTGGATGGTTAGAATATACGGAAACGCGTCCTTTGTTACTCCTGCTTCCTCATCCATCATCACGCACTGGTATGTTTTGCAAACAAAGATATAGTATGTCTAAAATCAGCATATTTACTTATTGGTGTAATCTTGAAACTAAGAAGGGTAATTGGGTGGTTTTTGGGGTTTGGGTCCATCAACTAGTGTTGTCATTTATGAGCAGGATTATATCAGGTTATATCACACTTGATAACATGGAGCTTTTGAAAATGTAAATGACAGTTGTCAGGGCATAAAACCAATGATCCGCTGATAGAAACTAAATCAAGACTCAACAGTCTAACAGTGGCATAGTTGTCAGTGCTGAAATTATTTTTTTTATATATCGAATAGTAACCTTAAAATAGAAAGTCAAAATGAATCCTAACACGCCTGCTGTCAGTGTCCTGTCTAGAAGACCGGTGTAGTTTAGTGGATGAGTCAGTGTGTCAGCCTCATGTTAGAGTTGATGCCCAGCTGGCCTAGTCTGCAGTTAAATGTAAAGAAGTCAGTTTGCACTTGTCACCGTCATATTCTATGGCCTTTTTTTTTTAGCTCTCACTGTTCCAAACCTTCATTTAAAATCAATCCGATATTTGAATTTCATGAGCACATGTTCATCAAAAGGGCATATTAAAGCCAGTGCTCGTTCTGCACTAGCAATTTGATGTGGAGCTTTGTTTGTTAGTAAGGGTGATGTGGGATGTTTTGAACGGAGTGAATGATTTTTTTGTTTGGGGGGGAGGGGGGAGTTTGCAATTCAGTATGTATGGGTGTGCCTGCTTGCTGTGCGCGCTAATTGTTTTTCATGTTGGGGACAAGGAGGCTTCCATTTCCAACTGTATTGGCTATCTTTAACTGTAAATACATGCTGTAAACTGCCACCCTGGTCTCTTTTACTGAGGCATAATAAATCCTGTATAATCCCTACAGTTTGACGCAAACACCTTTAACTCATCCTCCCAATTTCAGTGTGTCTTAGTAGATTAGTGTGGTCATTGCAGAGCAATGCTGTCTCAGGTCAGAGGGTGGCAGTAGCTACACTGTAAAAAGGGTTGCAGGGACAGGAATCCATATCCAATCTAGAAATAAAATATGAGTGCAATATCAGTATTTAAATACAACTAATAACTCACATTTTCCACTCCCCAAATTTAACAGATAAGTATTCCCTGCTACAATAGGTCATGTTACTTATATGAATACTCAGTCTAATAGTTTACTATATCAGTTAGAGATTTTCCACACAAGTTTTGGTGTACATGACCAGTGAGTCTTGGATGATTACTCTGATTTAGCTCATAATTATCATGAAATTGCTTGGGCCTCCTCATAACCTCCCCTCAAATTAGAGGTTGTGCTGCTGACATTTACCTCAAGATGTCTTTTTACGGGGCGCCCTGGTATCTCATCTGGCAGAGCTGGCGCCCCATGCACCACAGCTGAGTCCATTTCTGCAGCGGTCATAGGTTCAACTCCAACCTGTGGCCCTTTGTTGCGTGTCATCCCCTCTCATCCATTTCGAGCCCTGCTTACCGAAGGCTAATATGTACTTAATTTTCTTCATTTCACTAGGTCAGCCATCGGTCCAGAAGGTTCTGGTGCAGCACCAGGCAACAGGCGCCTGCAGCAGACCCAGGCCCAGGTGGATGAGGTATGATATGTTTTTGATTGCCTACTAGCTTACAAAATTCAGTGAAAGCCCCAAAATTTGATTTTCTCACTGGCTGATGTTGATGATAATCCCCCAAAAATACATTTAATATAATTTCAATTGATCTATGCCCTTCCATTACGAATACAGAAGTTCTTTAATTTCTTTTTTTTTTTAAAGAACGCTCCAGCATAAGAGACTATTATTTGTATACCCTCTTTCAAATTCAGGCAATTATACCGAGTCTACCTTTCCTACTGTGCTTCATTTCACCTAGCACAGCCTTATAATTGAACTGCAGCCTCTCTCTCTCTCTCTCTCTCTCTCTCTCTCTCTCTCTCTCTCTCTCTCTCTCTCTCTCTCTCTCTCTTCAGCCACTCTGTGTGACTCCGTTCTTCCTTGACGTCTGTCTCGAGCAGAGACTTGCATAACCCTTGGCAACAGTGTCATGAATCACCACAATGCTGTACCTCCACATGTCATTTCACATGCCAGAGAACATTCGGTGAAGGCAGTTTCTTCTCCAGATTTGAAAAATTATATTCAAAACCATGTCAGGGAGGCCACCAGCAAAACATGGCTGCCAACTCACGCTCCTCCTCCTCATTCTAATCCCCTTAACTGTTCAACCTCTCTCTTTCTGAGTTGCCTCCTTGTTGTTAGCCCCTCCTACACAACTTTAACCTAAGCATGTCACACAAAGCCTCTGATTGGCTGTCAGAAGTTTATATAATCACTGTCTCCATGGTTATGTAAGGTCTGCATGGGCCTACACACTCCACTCCACCCTGCTGCTCTGTCTAAGAGGAGGGGCAATAGTGGGGTTTGTGGATCAGTGGAACATATGGGTTATGTGTATGCTGTGATACTGCAGGTACGCACATGCACTCCTGTCAGTGAACTCAGTTAAGCAGACATGTGTGTACGCGTGTCGTGGTTTTGTTAAGTGACATCATTGGAGATGACTCTCTGACACTTAAAGCATTGATGTCTTGATCATTGCATTGTGTATGTACATTATATGAGTACATTTCCAGTCTTTCTCTCTGTGCTATATTAATTCTTAAATAACAATTCCAGGTACTTTCAGTACACTGAGGGGAAAAACATTTTAAAAAGTAATGACATTAAGTGTTTTATTCTTGTCTGTGTGTGTGTGTGTGTGTGTGTCTGTGTGTGTGTGTGTGTGTCTGTCTGTGTGTGTGTGTGTCTGTGTGTGTGTGTGTGTGTCTGTGTGTGTGTAGGTGGTGGATATTATGCGTGTTAATGTGGACAAAGTGCTGGAGCGTGACCAGAAGCTGTCTGAACTGGATGACCGGGCAGACGCACTGCAGGCTGGAGCCTCCCAGTTCGAGACCAGTGCTGCCAAGCTGAAAAGGAAGTACTGGTGGAAGAACTGCAAGGTGCCTAAACACAGTTTGGTCCAAAGAACCATGCCCCTTTCCCCACTGTCAATTTAAATAACTCTAACTGCCCTTTAATGGCTTCAATGGCATTTCATGTTCATGTGTTTAACTACACAACTACATATACCACTTATAATAGTGAAGTGAAACAAAAAAACTGAGTCTTACAAATGACTTGGTTAATATCAAGATCAAGGTTAATTTATTTGTCATTTAACACCACACAGTGGCACAATGAAATGTAGAATAAAATAAAATAAAATGAATATAAATAGAAAACCTAACCTAACCTAAACAAACCTAATTCCAGTTGATTTGTGTGACACTTAATTTGCTGTACCTTTTCTGACTTGCAGATGTGGGCCATCCTGATAGCTGTCATAGTGATCATCATCATCATCATTATTAGTGAGTATCAAATCTGTGTTCTCTGTCTCTATGATTTTCAATCAGTTAATGCTCATAACCCTTAATATAAAGTGTAAGCATGTCCATATAATTACAGAGATTTCATTTTGTCTGAATTGGATTGTGAGTTATAGCATTTACCAATATACTATACTTTTACTAATAAAAAATTAGTTTATATAAATCTTTAACCCAAAAAATCCCCGCCTACTTATTCACAGTTTGGAGTTATTCGTAAAACAGCAGCAAGAGGAGGAGGAGGAGGAGTGGAGGAAACAGTGAAGAGGAGGAGAGGAGCAACGTGCACAATTAATGTCTCAGAGGAAGATGTCACATGATTACTGGCTACTGAGCTCCACAATATTTTTCCCCTTTTGCATTGGGGGTCTTCATTCCTTGTCCTGGTTTGCGGTGTGTGTGCGTGTTTGCACATATGCTTGAGTAAAAGATTGTTATAATACCAGAGTTTTACCTGCATAACTACTCCATACCATACATTACTACACATGTATTTGAGTGCCATACCAATTGCCAAAGAAAACAGAAACCATACAGTACATACAGAAACGAGTTGATCATTAAAATCAAAATCAACTAAAACCTATAGAAACTATTAATACATCAGCTTCGACTGTATGACAAAGCACACACACACACACACACACACACACACACACACTCACTCCAACCTCAGGATTAGAATTGAAGAATATTGTTGTAAACTCTCCTCAACTTATATTTACTTTTTTTTATGTTTTATTCATAGCCATTGATTTTGTGTGCCAGGCAAAGAGAAGTGCCTTTGAAGATATGCTGTTCTGTGTTAGTTTAGATTGTAACAGTAACCCTGCATATCATTGAGAGATACGCCTTTCCAACATTTCTACTTTTCAGACTCTACCGCCAATATTTAGAATTTTCTCCTCATTTTAAAAAAAAAAAACATTCCTGGTCTGTAATGTTATGGTTACAGTTGAGCAGGGAATGATGAGATCCAATGCCTTATTTTATTTGTGCACATTAAGTTCTCTGCGTAAGACCTGTGATTTTGGATTGAATAAAGAGGAATTTCATTGGTCACCAGACAACAAAAAGCTAACCAGTAACACACTGTTGAACCACCTGATGATACTGTGCCTGTCCTTGTTCATCTTCCCTTTAGATGCGACTTGGTTACAGTAAAAACTAGTGTGAGCTTGTGTTTAGATAAGTGCCTATATGCTACGACCAACAGCCTCACAGCTAGCCAAGACTAGAAATAGCTACAAAGTAATGGAAAAAAAGTGCTACACTGGGTTAGAAATGGTGAATTGTCTCAAAGATGTGCCAGAAAGTTTGCTTTTGTGAAACATTCAAATACAACAAAGTAAGAAAGTAGTAGCAGACAGATGCCTTAATAGGTTTCTCCAATGGAGAACAGCCAAACATACAGCCACACCTTGATATACCAGCCAGTAAAAGAGTTGTGCCTTCTGAATGCTCTCAAACAAATACTGTGCTCCTTTGCTGATTCAGCTGAGCTTATTAGTCTTTAATGAAGTCTTCTTTTTGTCACACTGGCATTTATCCCATCTGATCAATGCAAAGTACTTCTTGTGTGATATTTTACTTATTCTTCTAACAATAGCTTTCTTTTGCAATCTATTATGTAGAACTAACCTTAAGGAAACTGTATAGTATCTTGTGTTGAGGTGCTCGCTGCTGCGGAGCATTGTGTGTTTGAGTTAAGAGAAAAACTTTGTTGGGCAATGTCAGTGTGATATATCCCATACCAACACTGGATGATTGTTGCTTCCATCCTATTAAAATAAATGGATTTTAATGAGACAAACAATTGGGGATTACTTTCTACATTCATTTAGCTCCATGTTTAATTTGATTGCTGCAAGTAGAACTCTTGATCTCATTTTTTTTGGTAGTTTAAGCAGTTATTTGGCCTTCACAGTACATGCAATATACTGTGGTCATTGAAATTAACACTAACAGTCTGTGCTCTTTAGACGATTTGTAATGTATAGCCAAACTGTACCCAGTAAGGAAATTGTGTAATATATTCAAAGACCTGAAAATGCTTTTAGAGACCAGACTTATCACAGATGCATGGAATTGTCATCATCCTCCCGTCTACACCAGAAATTTGAGACTCTTAGCTTTCAAACCTTGCTCATGTCTGCCTACTGGGAATGCATTTGGAAATAAGTGCAATTCTACTCTTTAACCCTAAATGCCTTTTGCTTGAATAAAACTGATTTAACTTAAATGGCAATGCCTCATCTGAGTGTTTCTTTTTTATAATAAATGTCAAGGATGAGTCTTTAAAAGCAGCTGAAGAACTTTCTGCCTCACAGCTCGTCTTGATCCAGCATGGCTTCATTGTCCTCAGTTCCTAGGTTGGGGTCATATAGCTATACTTTCTCACTAATTCAATCATTGAAAGAGCCAGTGCCATCCACGACTGTCACCTAACACCAGAGCTACTGTCACCTATAGTTTCGACATTCACTCCAATGTATTCCAGCATCAATTATAGCTTGTTTTGCCATAGCTGCCATTATTATTAGTTAGTATTACTACTAAAAAGCATTAGTACAGTTTATTGCTGCATTGAGCATCTAGGTGGACCTTTGGCAAAAACGACCTGTAGGCTCTGATTAATTAATCCAATTAATACAAATACATCCTGGTGAAGAAAGACCAGATTATGAAACCCGAAATCTCAAATTAGGGCCAACTCAAAGTTGTTTTCAGCAGCCAATCAGCTAATAATTTGGTTTATGAAAGTTAAGAACATTTCTGAACGCCCAAGGTGACATCTTGAAATACTTTACCAATGCTTCACAATCCAAAGATACTGATTGAACTATCACAAGGCCTACTAGGCCAAATATTCACATTTGAGAGGCTGGAATCAGTGAGGTTTTGACATTGTTGATTTAAAAATGACTGAAATGCTTAAGTCTTACCATTTGATTCAACATAAACTTACACGTCAGATAGCACACAGGTTTAAACTTCTCCTTAAAGGCAACAAGATGTGTGAACTGCATGGGCTGGGCCATATAGCGGCTCTGTTCATTCATTGAGTAGTAGAGGGGTCGATGCAGCACTTGGATTGTTGTTGTGTAACATGGAGGTCCACGTGAACCGCCAGAAAGCCCACGACAGATTGCCGCCTTTAGACACGCCCACTGCCAGGCGCTGTGTCCAATCACACGGTAGAGACAAATTTAGCCTGTCCAATCACGATGCGGTGGGCGTGGCTATACTGCACCGGCCTCACGTTGCACAAATGTGTCAAGCGCTCTGGAGTGGTTGACGGTGTAACTACGTGACTGCAACCTAATTTTTTCAAAATAGTTATTATATGGTCTGGCAATCAATTTGATAGAATTTTGATTTTCGGATATTGAAGCTGAGACACACGTGGAGTCGGAAAGGTAATTATTTCACCACAGGAGAGAAGGTTTGAGCTGTCGTTAGCGATTTGGCTAAGCTAGCTAACCACCTCGCCCACGACAACAACCAGAGAGAACAGTGGATGTAAACAAATGAAGTGTAATTGTTGTCTTGTGTCGCACTCTTACTCTTGTGAGACGGGTATTATGTGGTTTTAGGCGCATGCTTTACATCTCCATGCAGTAAAAAAATGCTGTAACTAGTGTAGAGTAGTTTATATTGCTAATATGTTCGCTAAATAACATGTCTGCCATAAGTCAGGGGGTTGCAGTTAACGAGTGGCGCTTAGCGAGTTATTAACACACTGCAGCTAATGTTGCTCTCATACGGCTGCATTGCGTGAATAATGAGTAAAGTTATCCTATTAGCTAACTTAATACACTAGTAAATAAGCTATCAGTTCATATTACACTGTACGCTTCTGGCCTTACAGTTACTGGATTAATTTATGGCCACATTCTGTATTTATATGTGTGTCACAGAATGTCTTTGTGGCAATATACACAGTAATGTGAGTTTAATAATGTCATATAGGCGGTTGTACTTTGGTTGTCAGAGTAGAGTAGTTACTGTCTCTCCTTTAAGCCTAAGCGGTACAGTGGTTACTGAGGTTATTGAGGTTACTAGGTTCATGTGGGGAGGGGGTAGTGAACCATAAAGGGTGTCAGGTTTGTTTTGAGTGTGGATGACTTGTGGGCTGTTGTTGAAGTCTGAAGAGCTTTTCTTAGATCCGGTGGATGAAAGCATAAAAAACAGGTATCAGCGTTGACTTCCTCATTCTCTGCCATATCAGTTTTATTTTTGTATGTTTATTTAGTTGTAATAATAATCTTTTTAGATGACCTATATCTCTACATGTAAGCTGGCTATACTACTTCTGGATCTACTACCACAAAGCCATAAGTATAATCCTTCCGTATTGGCAGGAATTTGGTGTGTATAGGTGTAGTGTGATTCTAGATTTGAGTGTGCCTTTTAAAGACATGATCAACTCCTTGATTGCTTTCATTGCATACATCTACAGTTTAAGAGGACATATTATGATATCAAACAGACATTTTGGGGGGAAAAACAGAAGACTTTCAGTAGACACCAGTCTGCTTGTTTTTCACCACTTATGTATATAATGTGGGAAAAAAGCTTCCTAAAGGTTAATGCTTTCCTCAGATGCCCAACTGCTGACCAAACCAGAAAATCAGGCATTTTAGTGTAACAGTAGGTAAAACACTATTATGCTTGCAGCGCAACATTTTACTACAAGTTGTAGGGCTGGGTGATAATTAATTACTACCATTTATCTCCTTTCAGAAATTATCATTACAAATTATTTTGTAATGATGTGACTACGTCATATTATTATCAAACTGTTCTGTTGTCCAAATTCTGAGCAGGCTGTAATTAAAAACTAACAATTATTTAGTTTTAGTAGTTACACGTATAAAGGGTTTGGTCTCGTGAAAATTATACATCACTGGTGGAACAAAGATCTTTGCTTCGAAACTGCTTTGAAATAGCTTTATTTAATCTGTGATGTTGTTTTCCATGCTGTGAACACATTATTATTGGAACATATCCTCGTTAACATTGTTTTTGGCTGTATCACACACGCAGCCTATCTCCTATGTCTACAAACATCATTAATGTACACAAACCATTAACAGTGTAAAAAATCAACAACTTAGGTTTAGTTTTTTTTCTTGTTATAATCCTTATAATAAATGCAACTAACCTTTTATTTACTTTTGGATCCCAATGTGCTTTGAACAAGAATTCAAACTCGCACATGTCCCCTTTGAGAAGTGGGGGACAAAATTGCAAATTACTAACCTGACTCAGCACCTTGACCTTAGCATGGCCTTATCAGTTCTGTTTATGTGCTGAAAGAATAAGGCAAGGCCAGAGCATTGTACCTGAACAACAGCGAGCATGGTTTTGCGTCTGTGCTTTGCACACACACATTGCACATATAATAGGAGGATAGCTTATACACTCCGAATTGAGCAAGCTGGTTATGTAATCCTGCAGTGACGACCTGTTGAACGACGCAGGATATTTTCACTGGCTCCTGTTTAGTGCCTCTCCGTGCGTCTCCTGTCTCTGTGCCTCACTCGCCTTGTTTCACTGCTATGTGTGAAAGGCATCAACAATTTAGATGTTTTATGTACTGTGTCTGAGTTTAAACCCATTTAGTACGAGTTAGTCTTCGTCTGTAAACATGAAATAGTGTGTGTCACCTCTGAGTGTCTTCAGGGCATTTGAGCTGCATTTCACTTGGAAGAAGATGAGAAAATGTCTCTGTGGGCATCAGCACACATTATTATTGTTTTATTGGTGTTGTGTAAAGAATGGCGTTTGGCAGAGCTGCACTGGTGTTAGGAGTATTGATGGGTGAAATGTGCTCATATGTGTAAATCGTAGATGAAGGGAGTGAGTCAGAAAGCAGTGAGTCAGTTTGATGGTCAGATAGTCCAATAGTATTATATAACTAGGCAGACTGTGTGTGTTGTTCACATTTGAGAAATAAAAAAAAAACACTGTCTCATTGCACAGAACATTTTATTTGTTTATAGTAATGCACCTGTATGTTGTTGTTTTGTTATTTACTTTTACATTTGGAGCTATTGCCACATCAGACAGGGACAAGTTTTAGGCATTTTATTTTGGGTTTACTCTGCTTCAATAGACATTTTTAAAAGCAGGCACAGGTGTAACTTGTTGAATTCCATAGCCATGCCTGGAACTGGCACACCTAAATAAAATGCAGAAATCATTATTATTATCGTTATTAATTACAACTGTGCTTTTCCTGCTTTGAAGTGATACTTTTGCATCACAGCTGTGTCCCAGTTTCATACTACATACTAATTCTAATATGGATTTGAGTTTTCAGTGTTTTCAGACATGTACACTACTGGCTCACAATGCAGTGCACAAAGCAAATGTTACTCACAGCTGCAAAATAAATAGATATATAATAAATTCTGAATGATGATAAGACCAGCTTAGTCCATAAGGACCTTGGAAAACCAAAACATCGTTAGGAGGACATTTTGCTGTCTCTAAAGATTATGGTTGATGCCTGTAAACACAGTACTGTATAATTTCCTTTAAATGCTCAAGTACATTATACAGTATACCATAAAATTAGTATTATATACTCTATACACTCGGTAAGTATGGGAAATACATAAAATACAAGAAAACGAGCAAACTTAGATGTACACATTAACTTATTCAAAATAGAAATTGAGTCATGTTGAAGTTAAGCAAGCTGCTGCCTTATCCCAACAACTTAGTCTTAACAAGAATTTTAAACCCCCTGTTAATAAGCCCATTAACAAAATGATCAGTGATCTTTTAAAGGTACAGTATAATAAGTTACTTTTTATGTCTCATGGCACAAAACAAGCATGATGTGTCTGCAGTGGTTTGAGCAGGTTGCTATGCAGGTATTATCTTGCACTGTGGTTGCTATTGTTGTGAGCAAACCACCAGCCTCTCTTCTTCAACTGGGAAAACATAGAGGACACTGCTATTACCATGTATTACCTTTTTTTATATATCTTTGCCGCTCTTGCCGTTATCTTGATTTATAAGAAGAAGAATATTATTGTTTTAATTCAAAATTCAAAAATCTTTTAACATGGCCCCATACCTCTTAGATAGATTTATTTTTTCACCACCAGCTTCTAGTTCTTCTGTGTTGTGAAATTAAGTCCTGCAAAATTAACTACTACTAAGATACTTTTTCTTATCATCTCCCTTAATTTTCTTTTATCTTGCAGTGTTCAAGGCTGATCCTTA